TTTCTTTTGCTTTATTTCTAAAAACACTTGTTGATTATTTAAACGTGCTTTTAATCCATACATAGAAAATAGGGTAAAAATTTTATGAAAATAAGGATACATTATAAAAGAATTTAAAAAAGTTAAAATAACACATATTTAATACAGAATTTTAATTTGTTTGACATTAACGTTTAAATAAATAATTATGTACAAAGATTAAGCAAAAATTCAAAATAATTTAATTGTCTTCAGCAACATTCATGTATCTAAATTCAAAACCATTCTTTGTATCGCCGTACACTTTAATAAAAGCAGAAAGCCTTTTAGCATGCAGAAATCTTCTAATAACATTTTTAAGTCCTTGTTTATTTATAATGTCTTTATTAACCCTTACAAGCACATTATTATCTTTACATGTCACTTCTAATAGCCTTTCTTTTTTACCTGTGTAAGTTTTAATTTTTTCTTCTAAATGACTTTGTAAATCTGAAGGACTGAGAAGGTTATCAGAGGCAGGATGGGTGCAGTCAATGCAGTATTCTTTTTTTTCAGTATTTTCTTTAGACATTTTTAAGGGTAAAAAAATATTTTACAAATTGAAAAATTTATGCATATTTTTTATAAATAAAGAAAAAATTGGCATAAAAATAAATAGTGCATTGTAGTAAAAAGTTAGAAATAAAGCATTGTAAAAAAATATTAGAACATGTTTTATAAACGTGCTGTTTAAATGATTGTTTTGTAAAGGTAAATAGATTTAACTCAGTATATATAAAATTGGCAAAGAACTGCATGGTTACTAGAACATGTATTATAAACGTGCTGTTTAAATGATTGTTTTGTAAAGGTAAATGGATTTAACTCAGTATATATAAAATTGGCAAAGAACGTATGGTCACATCAAATCTAAGAAATGTAAAAAAATTTATTCAAATGGATAAGAGTGGTAGTACTTTAAACGATCTACTTTGAGTTGGGGTTAATAGGCTTGGCGTATCGATCTTATGTTATTTTTAAATATTAACTTATGTTTTTTAACAATAATTCTTTTTAATACAACAAATTGATTGAGAAAAATCAAAAATTAATATAGTTTTATATTAAAAATACAACACAAGAAAAAAAGTACATCATTAATGTATTACTTTATATTTAAAAATGCCCAGCCATTTTGTACCTTTTTATTAATATGGAAATATCTATTTGTATTCGCATGATAAGATAGTTACCATTTTAGCAAAAATTTTTTAAAACAATTAACAGAAAACAGTAAAAAGTTTTGCTTTCATAGATTATCTTTTATTTTATTAGTAAAATTTTGGTATTTGCTAGACTGTCTAAATCTCAAAGTAAATTTATGTGAGATACACAAGTACATATGCTTATAATACACAGATAGGAAAAATTAAAAGAAACAAGAAATTCTTTGTTTAAAGCTTTCTTGTTATTTAAATATATTAAATACACCCGTGTTTGCTAAAGAATAAGTTGATTTAAATTTACTTTATTAACAATAAAGTAAACAGAAATTTTATAATGAATAAATTAAAATGTTGGAAAAGGAAAGAAAATAAAAGCATAGCTTTTCTCAAGTGTGGTTATTAGAAAACATGGGTTTATTTAAAAATAACTTTATAAATATAAACATATTAAATTATAATAAATATGCTAGTCATATATTTGACAAACAAGATATACTTAACATTTCCCTTTAAAGATGTATTTATTTTTTAACAAATACCATTAGTTTATAACTACCCCTTTAAATTACTTAATAGTCTGGTTTTTTTATCCCTTATGAAATTTATACTTACTGAAGACTTTAAATCCGAAATTTATAACCTTCTGGTTCCTTACGACAATCATCCATTAAATCTTATGATAGCAGGTGGATCTCTTTTGAATATCTTAGACAATCCAAGCATTTCTTTTTTAAATTCATCACAGTGGAAAATATTTTATGCCGATGAAAGATGTCATAAATCATGTTTAAATTTCACTGGTTCTAAACCTTTTCTTTCTTATTTAAATACTGATCAAATATTTAAAATTGATGTTGAATCAGAAGATCCTGTGTCACAATACAAAAAAGTATTAGAGCCCATTGATTTATGCTTACTGGGAATTGGAAGTGATGGACATATTTGTTCGCTTTTTCCTGATTTAAATGATCTTGATACAACAGAAGATGTAATACAAGTATTTAATCCTAATGTTGTATCTCCCAATAGAATAACAGTTTCTTTACATTTTCTTAATACTAAAGTTAATAATTTATATTTTGTTATTCCTCCTAAAGAAAAAGTAAAGAATGTAGTAAAACCACATGAAAGGATATGTAAAAGATTACAAATTGAATTTACAAGTATAATCGATAAAAAGTTTAATACTTAAAATAAAATTTTATTTTTTATAATTATTAATATTTTCTATAATTGCTAACAAAATAATAAAACGCAACTTTTACGATATTATTATTTCAAGATAAATCTTCTAAATTTTTACCCCTTAATGTTTCTTCTTTTTTTACTTGCAGTTTACTCAACTTTATTAGTAAAAATAAAACCAGAGAAACCAGTACTTATTGACTATCCATTAACAGAAGATATAAGTGATATTACTCTTTCAATTTCAAACTTAAATCCTAAAGCAGAAGTAAATTTTAAAATTCTAAGAAATATTGAACATACAGAAGTTGACACTAAAACACTTATTCCTTTAGAAAAAGGATGGAATGAAAACTATACCGAGCAAGGTGTATATACACTTGTATTACTAAATACTAGTAATGAAGAGTGTCTTATAAGTGTACATTTATCTACTAATAAAGTATTGGGCCATGAAGATAATGATGTCAAGGCACTTAAAAAATTGTTTAGTGATATTGAAGGACGGCTTGGAAAACTTTTTGATTTTTATTTAAGGCTTAAATCCATACAAGAAAAGAATATCCAAGAAGCGGGTCGTATAGTTAAAGGATTGTATGTTTTACTAGTAATTCCCTGTATTTACATTTTGGTAGGATTTGCGAAAATGAATGCCATTAAAATGATGTTTGCCCCGAAGAAAAGAATCCGTCCTTAATAAAATGCATTGTTTTTATTAATATTTTGTATTTAAATTAAATAAATTTATTGTACTATTTCATCAATAATAAGCTTTTTCTTACCTTCAATGTCAATATCATCCCCCAACTCAAATACACTTTCTATTACCGATAATTCTATATTACTAGTTTCTCGTCCTGCGAAACAAGTCCAGTCATTAACAACTAGTCCTCCTCCAATGCGAGAACATCCAGAATTAACTGTACCTGCCATAACATTTACGCATAGTAAATCGCTAAGTTCTTTCATGCTGTCTTCACGTGTATCAGGATGTACTAACATCCCCTGATTATTAAGTGCTGCGTATTTTCCTACAAGTGGTCCACTACCAATATTCTGTCTAAAAACGTCTACTTTTAGTATATCATGTATCTCTTCCTCTGTCTCTTTTTCTATTTCCCCATGGACTAAACAAACCTTATCATTACAAAGTATAATATTACCAAGTGCATTAAGTCTTTCGTTAATTCGCTTAGCGACAACATTTTCTGGTAGAGAGTTACGTATATGATATAATTCTTGATCAGTGGTAGTAGAAGGGAGTAACAGTCCATGCTTATTACCTCTACTGAGAGAACCGATCACTGAAGTAGCATTAATCTTTGTTTCTACAACTGGCATGTCTAAATTTTCTAATAAATATTTTAAAGTATTTTTAGATCTTAACTCTCCCACTAAACAGTAATTGTTAGAGAGTGTTAGATACGCACCAACCTCTGATGTACATTCTATGTTTATACGATGTGACATTTGTGGGGTAAAATTTTTATGGTTAAAAAAAATATTTTTAATTTGTGTATGTAAAGAGTAGTCTTATAAAATCTGGTATATTTTAGTCATCTTCATTTTAAATTTATTATTACCCTGTGAATGTTTAATTTATCTACATAAAAATATTTTGTTTAGAAAATTAATAAACTTATTTGGGTTTAATGACTAGTTTTTATATTTTTGGTCGTTCTTGTACTTTCTGATTTATAACATCTACCAATTAATGTTTTCAAGCATTCTGTAATGATTCTATTAATTAAGCCATTGTTATCAAATACCAAAAGTCTCGACATTTAACATATATTAAAATATTGCTATAAATAAAGATTTTAATAAGGCATAATATTGCTTTCTATAAGATAAATAAATCATTTAAAGATAAAATCTATTGTAAAACAATACCCCTCAGAAGAATATGTCACATTTTTTTCTGCATTAGTGTGGCACTTTAGACCGGCATTTTTAGACTTAAATCATTTTGAAAACCTTGTATTGTTTACAAGCTCCTATTCGGTTATTTATGTTTATATCTGTTTTATATTTCAAAATTGAATTTTATTACGCATCGATCCCATAAAAACTAATTCGTACACTGAATTTGTGGGGTGGCCTGTAATACGTCACTTTTCTGTTCAACCGCTCACAAATCTCAAACAGGATAATTTAATTAAACTTTTAAGTTTATATTTTGACTTTGTTTAGTATAAAAATATAAGGTCTATTTTTTTTTAGATTTTACAAGAGTAAAAAAATCTATAATTGATGTAGTTTGGAATAATACATTCTATTTTTTTGACTACTGTTCCATAGTTTCATATTTTTTAGATTTTCAAATCTATTTATATTTTTTTTCAAAAAAAGGCAAGTTAATAATTTTCGAGATTACTTCTTAAAAATTGCAAATGACTAAAAAATCATGCCATATCAATGATACACTACACTTTAAATTCGTGTATCTATTCTTATTTTTGCTCTCTATTGCTTGTATTCTCTTAAACAAAATGATTTTTATTAAAAGTTATTCCCTAGTTACGACAAAGTTGTAGATGCATGTTTCGTAGTTCTTCGTTATGTCTTCGCATATAATTACGCAAAAGCATTCTGTTACGTTAGTAGCTATATAATCTACTGTTTTTAAATTCTTTTACAGCGAGGATATTTGGCGCCTTTGTTAAGAAAGATCATTTTATATTGAAATGCAGATAGCTTCTCTTAGTAGAGCAAAGGTTTTGACAACTTTTAAAATCGAATAATCTGGAACTTTAGTACGCATTTAAAGTTTTTAAAGTCGTATTGTTTTATTATCACTATGTAAAATTTTGAGTAGATATCTTTATACTTTCATGCTATCCTCACTTCATTAATTTTGTATTTTTCTTCAAAATCCTTTTATGTTAGCAAAACGAGAAGTTTTTCTTTTTCATTTTCAAATATTGCCTTTCTTCTAAGAAATTAATTTTTTCAACTGTCTAAGGCAAATTATAATTGTAGTATTATTATTTTTTTTTGTGCTCTTATTGTTTATTTTCCGCCTTGAACTTTAGAAGGTGGTTTACTTCTTCTTTGCTTGCTGTTTTCTAATGCATGTGATGTTTAATTTATATTGTACAGATACTTATTTTTATTTCTTTAGATTAATTTAATACTATGTGTAAAATACCAACATAGTAATTAATTAGTGAGATTGCATTGCTTGTATTTTAGTGCTTAAATTTATGTTGTATAATGTTTTTACTCTCTATAGTATTTCCATAACCATCCCATGTATATGTTTTTCTGATGTTCTGCTTATTGAAGATTTCGTGATATCTAAATATGAATATTCTTGTTATTTAAGAATTAAGTATATTTGTGACATTTTGCTGTGTTAGCGGCAAATTTATTTTTAAAAAATTACTATTTGAAGTAATAAAAAATTGATTTTTTCGACCATTTTTTGTACAATATCATTGTTTAATGCTAAATGTAGATTGTTGAAATATCTTAAACAGATAAGCACATTTTTAAAATAAAACTCTAAAAGGCTTTTTTTGTAAATGTTAGTTTTATTGAAAGTTATTTTATTCACGTAAATTGTTTAATAAAAATTTTAGTTTCTTTTTAAAATTCATTGACCTTTCTTTTAGGATAAATTTAATAAAAATTTTTAAAATAATAAATTAAATAATTGTCATTTAAAATCATAACAATTGTCTATATAAAATTTTAGTACATTTTAAATTAAGCAAATAATTAAAAAATATAAAAAAATTTGATTTATAAACGAAAAAAATAAAAAAATTTTTTTCTAAATATTAAAAAAGTATAGTGATATGTTTACATGCAGTATTATAAAAAACAAAGTAAACATCTAAAATAAATCATAAAAAATTTAGTTTAAAATTAATTCTAATTTTTTATTAAGCTTTTTAAACAATGATACAATTTCTATGTTAAAAAACTTTGGATTGAAAAAAATAAACTTTTTTTTATAGTTTGTAAATTATTTTTACAAAATTATGGTTGCTAAGTAAGCTAGAGTTAATGATATATTTTTTAACTTTACTACAATCAAAAACAAATTTTTATATATATCTATAAGTTGTTAAAAAAATATAAAATAACATTAGTAATATGAAGGCTGAATTTTAATAGAATATTGCTAAAGTATAAATTTTTTAAAAAATAAATATAATACTAAGTATAAATAATTTGAAAAAAATTTAATACACTTTCGTCGCCATGCAAAAAGATAGTACCTGTAGGATTCGAACCTACGCATCCTAGGGGATATAAGAGGTTAAGTCTCACGCCTTAAACCGCTCGGCCAAGGTACCAATATAGAATCATATAGTATATAACATAAAGTTTTTTGGAATCAATATCATTACCTTACTTACATGAAGGAAAATAACGATATTAATTCAATTTTTATACTTTTGTTATGTCCTGTAGCATAGCATAAGCAACTATTATTTTTTAATAACATCCAACTATTTTAATTTTATATATTTTATGTCTCTCTTCATGGAATGGATTATTTAAAATTCCACTATTTATTTCATTTTTTATCATCTTCAGATTCTATTTTTTTTATAAAATTTTTTGTAAAATTATGGCAGGAAAATTATGCATAAGAATTTACAGACCTCTTATTCTTTTAATAAATGGCATCTACAACTACTTTTACTTTAAAAAACTCTTTATTTATTTAAATTTAAAATTAAATATTGTTGCGATATTCTATATCACATAATTAATTTTTTAAAATAAATTGTGAGTGTTAGAAAAATGTTTATTTGAGAGTTATATTTGTTATTATTTTTCTTTTTATGCTAGCATCGGCTTTGTGCAATCAGCAGTTTTCTCTTCTACCTTTTCAGTTTCTCCTATCTTGTTTCTTCTTCGTTACTCCATTTAAATGCTCTCAAGAATCTTCTTAAGGGTTATAGGTATAATTAACCTTTTTTTATTTAATATTAACTAAATGCAATAATATATACTTAATTTTATTTTTGCATTAAAATTTTACCAAGCTTTTGCTTGAAAAAGTCTTTTTTTTAATTAATATTAAACAATATTTTTTTAATAGTATTAAAGAGTCGAAATTTTAATTAAAAAATTCTCCAATCATCGAGTCTTCTGCACGAATTTGCTTTCTTTTCAAAAGAATATAAAACAAACATTAAAAAGTTAATTTAAAAGTGTCGTTAAATAATTTAAATATACCACAGAAAATTTTTTTCCATTTTTACCTAAAATATCCCTTGATTTAAATGTATATTTAATTGACCAGTCTTCTGTGTGCACATAAAAAATACTATTTTCTTACCTTATAGTACTTTTCATATGGCCCAAAAACTCTTAAATATTATTTGTGTAAGTGTCATCTATAAATCTAAAACCTTTAGAATGATTGGCGGTATGATGTATAAAACTTATGTTTTTCGAAACTGCTGTATGTGAACGATGCTTATCGGTAAAAATAAGATTTTCATTTAAATATTAGGACATAGATAAATTAAATAATCCTATAATACGATCAGTAGCTTAACAAAGAAAAAAAATCTATTTACTTTTCTTTTCAACCTAGTTTGCTCAATATATAATTGTATTACTTGTACTATCTACGCTTGTAGAATTTTTTATTATTTTTTAGCTTAAAATAACAATTTCATCGACTTTATCAATTATGCTACATCCACTAGCACAATAGGCCGTGTTTTAAGGTAGTCTTTGTATCAAACTTAAAGTAAAGACTTATGATTGGAATATTAGTGTTAGATTTATCTAAAAATATCGATAATTGAGAGTAATTTAAATCACATGTTAAGTCATACAATAGACATGCTTCTTTTGTTAAGAATAGAGGAAAATGAAATAAAAAGTACTTTTCTGATATTTTTTTGTGTATCTATAACCTGTACTATCATTGCTTGAAGAAGTTGGCAATAATTTGATAGATTACTACATCTTAAGCATGTAATGATAGTGCTCATAATATTATTGCTTAAAAGGAAATTTTTTAAGTGAATCTAAATTTTGAAAGATTTAATTATTTATGATTAATATGCATACAAATTATTATATAAAAAAAATTAACTTCTTTTGTTCCTTTCAAAAACAACATTAATATTTTTATGCAGGGCATTTTTCTGTTAATTTTTTGTATCATAAACACAAAAAAAATTAAATTAATAAAAGATGCACTTTTAAGCACAAAAATACAACTTTTCCAAAATCCCTTTTAACATAAAAAAAAAATAAAAAATACTATTTTTGGGGGTAAAAATAACAGCATTTGCTAATAAAGATGTAGGTAAATTGGGATAACTGTCCCATTTTTAAAAAATTTTTTAAGTAACTTTTTATTAATGACCCTATATTGACAACAATGTTTTTTTTATTGCTATTTAAATAGTCTCCCACATAATTTCTGTGTATCCTTCTTTTTTATAATTTTATTTTTATAAAATAAAATTCTAGAAAATTCAAAAAAATTTAATTTTTAAATTATGGTATTTTATCACAAACTGCTTTCGTTTTTTACAAAAATATTGGGTTGGTTACTTTTATAACAAATTTGCCACCTCTTCATTGCGTCTTTAAGTTTCTTAACTTATTGTTTTTAAATTATTTGTTTGCTTAAAAAAAAGTTAAGCAAGTTCGTAAAAAACGGCGTTTGGTTGTACATTGCGAGATGTTTCTACTCTTTTCAGTATTTCCATTTTCTCCTCATATACATGTTCTTTTGATGTTTTGCTTATTAAAGATTTCGTGATAACTAGAAATTTATATTGTTGTGATTTCAAGAATATAGTGTAACTTGTGACATTTTGATGTATTAGCGGCTGATTTGTTTTTAAAAATTACTATTTGAAGTAATAAAAAATTTATTGATTTCCTCGACCATTTTTTGTACAATATCATCGCTTAACGCTAAAATTTAAAATATCTATATAAAATTCTAATACATTTTAAATAAAGCACAAAAATAAATACAAAACAAAAGTATTTAATTTCTAAACAAAAAACATTAAAGATTTTTTTGAAATATTGCAAAAGTAGTATAAGGATATGTTTATTTGCAGTATAGTATTGTGTTATACATCACATTTTTATAAAAAAATTTCTCCCTCCCCCCCCCAAAAAAAAAAAAAAATTAATAAATTTTTTTATAAATAAAAAAATAAAAAAGAAGGGATATATACAAAAATAAGAAATGAAATACGAAAAAGCTTAGCAGGACAAAGCGTACAACAACGATATTTAAGGCATAAAAATGCCCTATAAAGCCAAGAAAATTAAATAATAAAAGATTTTTTATTTTAACTCATATAAAACAACATTTAAAGTTTGAACGCCTCATTAGGGGTTACAACAAGCTTGTTAATTAATTAAGTATTTAAAATTAATCCAAAAAAAATAGTTTAAAATTAATTACAATTTTTATTAAGCTTTAAAAAAAACTTTGTCTTTTATAGACTGAAAATTTTAGCGTTTATGAAATTCGAATTTATTTACAGTTTGTAAATTGGTTTTTTCAAAAATGATGATATTCTTACAAAATTATAGTCGTTAAGTAAGTTAAAGTTAATGATATATTTTTGAACTTTAATACAATCAAAAACAGATTTTGATAATTTTTTTTATTTATAAGTCGTAGACAAAATATTGTGCCTGAAAGAATTATTAACCAAAAACAAAGGTTTATTTATATAGAAATTATACAAAACCAACCTGTTAAACCAAACAAACACAATCTTACAATATGATATTTTTATATCCTTCAACACAAAATATAAAAATTTTTAATATTGGTTAAATTTGCTTTGTGGTGCCCAAGAGTGGTATTGGCAAAATTTTTTTTTTAACCCCTAAAATGTTTGAATTGAAGGAAGAAGAAGAATACAAAGAAATAACTGATATTGTTATAAACTTTTATTTAAATAGATTTTGCATTAAATGCGGTTATGAAACTAAAAAATTCAAGCGTGACCACTTTGTCATATGTAATATTTCTTTGTGTAGGTATAGGTTTTTTTATATTTAAAAGCACGTTTTTCGAAAACGTTCTTCTCCCAATTATCACCGCAGTTAAAATTTCGGATATGTGGTTATAGAAGGGGCGCCTCTTAGTTTACTTGTCAGAATATTTAATGTTCACCGCTTAACTGTTTCAGTATTATGCTCCAAACTAAGAGACTTAGGAATATTTTACAGATATTTAAACAAATTCACTAAAATAGGTGGAGATGATAGTATAGTTGAGGTTGATGAAAGCAAATTTAGGGAAAGAAAACATTACAAAGGTCATAGAGTAGGCGGTGTTTGGGTAGTAGGGGTAGTAGAAAGATTGTCTAGAAAAATTAGTCTAGCAAATGTCGACAAGGTGACAGTTCTACCCTTATTTTATTCTGTAGAAAATATATTTGTAGGCAATCAATTATATTCAGTGATTGTTAGAAATGTTATGTCGAGCTAGCCAATTTTTTTAAAGAGCATAGAACTGTCAAATATTCTAAGCAGTTTATAAATAAGCAAACAACTACGCATACCAACACAATTGAAGCTAATTGAAATGTTATTAATAAAACCATTCCAGTAAGATGTAGAACTAAGAAATTAATTGATAATATATCCTATAAGATTTAAGGTAAAAAGGAATGAAGGAAAAGAAAAATTGAAATATTTATTAAAATTATATTTAAAGTAATTTTGGGGTTTTTTATAAACAAGTCATATTTACAAAAGATCTTTAGACCAGCTTCTTTTCATGAAAATCAAAATTAAGGGGTTAAAAAAAAAATTTTGCTAATACCACTTTTGGGCACCACAAAGCAAAAGAATTCGGAGAATTCTAATCCGTGCTGCACGTTTTTTTATATACACCTTTTTAAAACTTTTTTACTCTTATTTTTTAATGTTATACATAAAAGAGAAGTGTAAATTTTACAAAGCCTAATCTTTTTTTTCTTATATTTTATACAGAAGCTTTTGATTTTAACATATTTTTCATATGTATTTGAATGGTAAATGAAAAAAAACAATTTATTAAATTTATTTGTCCTACGTTTTTTTGAATTATAAAAAAAGACAACTTACATATTTTAGTCCTTTTTTCTCATATTTTATACAGAAGCTTTTGATTTTAAAATATTTTTCATATGTATTTGAATGGTAAATGAATAAAAAACAATTTATTAAATTTATTTATTCTACAATTTTTTTGAATTATAAAAGAAGACAATTTACATATTTTAGCCAAATGATAATCCTTTTTCATTTTGAAATAGAAATAATTTTTAAAGATAAAAAATTGACTCCTTTTTAGTTCTATACGTTACAAAAACTTTTCTTTTAACCGTAGAAAATTTTCTTAAATAGTTATAATTATCGGTAAAAAAAAATATTTCTTTACATCTTAAGAATCTCTATTACATTATTTAGAAATATCGTGTTTTGAAAATCTTTTAAAGTAAGATCGTTTATTTTAATTGGATCTGTTTACGTTCAAATTGCTTTTCGTAGAGTTTCGTCTATAAATGTATTTATAGCTATAAATAGATTAAATCAAAAAATAAACAAACAATTACTAGATAAAAACGCAGAAACCAAATGTATGAAAAAAAAAATATGCAAAAATCGCTCCTTTTAATGTAAAGATTTTGCAAACAATTAAAGTGTAAACAAATTAAATAAAAATGTAATCATGTGCTAGTTGCATCATGACGAGAAAAGTTTGCGATATTTTTGTACTCTTCTATTCTGTGAAAAATTAAAAAATAAGGGTAAAAAATTTTTAAAAAGGAGTATGTCAAAAACGTGCAGTACAAGTTAAATTGACTCTCTCAAAGGTGCAGATAAATTCCAAAGAAGCAGAAACAATAATAAACTTATTATTAATTATAATAAATGAAGTTTATATGATGTTTAAATACGCTTTAGATGCAATAGATATGGTGTTAAGAAGAATATGCAGAAGTAACGCTATCTTCAGAGGAAAGACGGTCTTATTTGGTGGAGATTTCAGACAAGTATCAGCTGCTGTTTTGAAAGGATTTTAAGTATCAATAATAGAGAACTCTATAATAAGCGCAATAGTAAAAGAATGTTTAAGTATTAAAGGCTGTCTAATAATATGTGGTCAATGAATTTTCAGAGTTTTCATCATGGTTATTAGAAGCGGCAAGTGGTTCAATAAATACTAAAAATGGGGAAATAGAAATTTCTAAAGAATATTTAATAAAAGGCAGTTTAATGGGGTCAATATTTGGAAAAATATCATATATCGAGCATTTGAATCTGTATTTAGCAAGGTCAATTGACAACTAAAAATGAATTTGCCAATTATATTAATGTACAGATCCTTAAAATGCTAGATGGCGAAAAAAAATATTTACAAGAATGCGGATTTGGTCGCGTCTGACGATCCAAATTAATAACAAAGATGTCCATTAAAGTTTGTTAATATAGAATAGCTCTCTGGTCTTCTTCAACATAAGCTTAAATTGAAGGGTGGTTACCTTATAATGCTGTTAAGAAATATTTAAACAAAAAAAAGACTTTTAAATTGGATGAGGATGCGGGTATTGAGGCGTAAGAAAATTACATTGTGGGAAAAATAGTTGCTGGAAGAAGAGAAGGATATACAGTAGTAATCCAAAGAGTAGACATAATGTCAGGTGAAACGTTTCTGGCTTTTATATTTAAAAGGAGGCAATTTCCTGTAATCGTTTCATATTCCTTGGCGACTTACAAGTCACAAGGTCATTTCATTTGATTCTGTGTTGTGTTATTTCTGCTTGAACCCGTTTTTTCTCATTAACAATTTTATGTTGCTACATCAAGAGTAAGAATTTCTAAAATCTAAAAATATTCTTATCTAAAAATATAAAACAAATAACAAAAAATATTGTTTATATAGAACTTTTTAATGGTTTACAACGCCGAATATAGAAAGAGTTAGGTTATAAGTATAAGAAAAGCAAAAATAAAGTAATGTAAACTTACAAAAATATAATACAGAAGAGATTAGTTCTCACTGTAAGATTACAAAAGGTGCAAACTGCATGTATAAATTATGTAAAATTTCAACAAAATCATGTATAAAAACTTAATATTGCCGCTATAAACAAATGCATTAAGTTAAAAAATAAGAATACAGAAAAGTGTAAAATAAATACACAGATTATGCAACTATTAATAGCTTAAAACAAACTCAACATTTCCGTAGTGTGAACGGGTTGCTTTAACAAGCAATGTTTTAAAAAATTGCAAATTAAAAATAGAATCAGAAGAGAACGAAATATGATATTATCTTTGTTCTATGAAGAAAGACGCAAGATAATGAAAAAAATACAATCTAGTTGAATTTTATTCAAAAAAGAACAACAGCCTATGCTACGGGCATAATAGAAGTATAAAAATAAAATTGACATTTTTATTTTTGAAGGTTAGTACTGGGATCGATGCAAAAAAGCCTGTATTATATACGTTATTGTTTTTAGTACAGGTACCTTGGCCGAGCGGTTAAGGCGCCAGACTTAAGTTCTGGTACTTTTCTAAGTGCGTGGGTTCGAATCCCACAGGTACCATTTTTACATAAAAAAATTGTTTTATTTTTTTCAAACGGGAAAATTAAACTTGTGCTGCACGTTTTTTGATTTACAGCTTTTTATATTTTTATTATTATTTTTAAATGTTGCACATAATAGAAGAGTACAATATATCGCATATTTTTCTAAAAATTAAATGATACGCTATAGATGATTAAGATATAAATAAATATTTTTTTACTAATAATTACAACTATTTAAGAGAATTTTCAGCGGTTAACAGAAAAGTTCTTATAACGTATAGAACTAGAAGGAAGTTAATTTTTTATCTTTAAAAATTATTGCTATTTCAAAATGAAAAAGAATTATCATTTGGCTAAAATTATGTAGATTGCCTCCTTTTTATAATTCAAAAAAACGTAGGACAAATAAATTTAATAAATTGTTTTTTATTCATTTACCATTAGAATACATATGAAAAATATGTTAAAATCAAAAGCTTCTGTATAAAATATAAGAAAAAAAAGATTAGGCTTTGTAAAATTACACTTCTCTTTTATGTACAACATTAAAAATAAGAGTAAAAAAGTTTTAAAAAGGTGTACATTAAAAAACGTGCAGCACGGATTAGAATTCTCCTAATTTTATTTTTTTTATTTTTTTATATGATTTCTTCATTTATAGATTAATTAAAAAAATCAATATATTTAACAGTTACTGCAAAGAAACACTTGGCCAATAAACTTATTTTAAAGTTGCTATTTCTCGGATTTTTTCTTTAAATAATCTGATATTCTGTCATAAGTCTTCTGTGATATTTGTTTGTGCATAAAATAAAAAATTCAATAAAATATTGCCTTTTTTAAATTAAAAGAATTTAACAAAATTAAAAAAAGGTTAAAAATAAATACCAGATCTAAACTTTTACTTTTTTTTGGCCATCTTACACCAACACCTTTAAAATATACTATAATTAATGTAAGCTTTTCCTTTTTTAATGTATTTGTAATATCGTAGAATTACAGCCACTTTAGATATTTTAGGTCAAATTATTAATTAGATAAAAATTCTTTTTCTTTCTAATTCCTATGGGTGAAGGTAAAAATAAATATTTTAAGTAAATTTTTTTAAATAAATAACATATGGTAAACTATTCCACAGGTATCCTGCTGCTGTAACCCTTAAGGTGGGTGCCGAACTTAAGATATTTCTCTAAAGTACTGTAAATAAAGTAAGTTGTTTTATTTAACTTAATATCTCTGTTCCGAGAGGTATTTTGTTAGCTTAACTTAAATAATAATTGTTGTTATTGGTGTAGTCCTGGTCCATTTTCATTTTTCTTGCTTTTTATTAAGGTGAAATAAATAATTTCTTTTATAGATAATTTTTTTTAAAAAAAAAATACATGAAAAAAATAGAGACATGTGATAAGATTAACATATCTGTATATTACCTTTAAAAATAATATAAAGGAATTATTCAGGTTTTCTTTTAAAAAATATATAAATAAATTATGAAAAAGGGTAAAATTTTTTTAAATTAGACAGAAATTATTTAAGTAAAAAAAAATAGTTATAAACTTATGTTGGGTTTTTAATGGCCACAGATGGAAGACTTAGGAGGTTTCCAAGGTTTTTTGTCTTTAAGGGATGTATGTTTTATTTTAAATTATTTAAATTGTTTTCTATATTCCATTTAAAATTTTACACAGCATTAGTTTACGATCAAAAATTTTATAGAAAATAAAAAAAAATGCTTATAGTTTTTTATGCATCAAAATAAAACTTTTTGTTAACCTTAGAATCTTAAAACCTACTATCAATAATTTTTTTATTGGTTTTGCTTTCTTCTGCGTGGGCCAGAAAATTATTAAAAATTTAAAAAAAAATATTATTGTTTTTCAACATCTTTATTTTAATTCTTAATAGAATCTTTGCTTTTCATTAAAAAAAGTAATTGTTTAAATTTCGCAAGCCCAGCTCGCCATCCGAGCCACACATCGTACTTTTTGTTTACAAATTTTGAACTTCGACATTTTTTACGTTATATTATAGACGGCGCCTTATTCCAAAACCTATACTTAAATACTTTTATACGGGAATCGAGCCCGCAGATGCTTTTACATGTAACAAGATTAACCCAACTGCGACACTCGTCACGCATATTTTATTAAAATTTAAAATAAATAATTTTACAAGTGGAATTTGTTAAATAAAGGTAGGCTGCAAAATATTTTAAATTCTGCAATATATTTAAGAACAAAAAAATTGAATCTTTTAAAAATTTTTTATTTTTAGCCATTAATGGTATCAGTCATAAATGATAAAGAGGAATATGATGCAATAATGGCCATCCTTTTAAAGCTGCCGTTTGAGACGTATTTGAGTAGATACCAAGTATTTAGGCTTCGCAAGAAGGCGGAACACTTTCGTGTGTTTAATGACACGCTCTACTTTAATATTAGAGAAGGACTGCACAAAAAAGTGTTCTACAAGACCCAGGTCGATATCATGGCATTAGAGGTTAAAAGACTTCATGATACCAACCATTACGGCCATAATAGGATGTATGAATTATGTAAAGATTATTTCTTTACAATGCCCAGAATTGTTGTGAGAGATATTATTACAATCTGTAATACTTGTAAAACATCACAGCCTTTAAAGCAGAAAAAGCCATTTAAGCATGTTACGGCCACCTACTGCTTTGAGCACATTGTGATGGACTTAATCGGTCTTAAGAGTTTTAAAACAACAAACCTAAATTTTTGTTGGTTACTTAATATGATTGATGTTTATTCAAAATTTGTAAAGGCTTATCCACTCAAATCTAAAGCAGTTTTGGAAGTTAGCAATGCATTAGAATCACTTTTTCTGACTTTTGGTTTACCAACTGTTTTACAATGTGACGATGGAAAGGAATTTTCTAATTCTGTGATTAACGATCTTTGTGCTCGGTTTAACGTAAAGTTGATTCATGGCAGAGTTAGACACCCGCAATCACAAGGTCAAATTGAACGCTTAAATCAAACATTAACGAGAGCCATAGCTAAACAAATGGATGCCAAAGATGAAAACGTAAAGGAAGCTATTTGGATAAAGTATATTGATCTTGTCTTTTATAACTACAACATTGCTGTCCATTCTGCCACTTGTAAGTCGTCATTCAAACTTTTTCACGGGCGCAAAGGGCTTAATACAGTCCTTAGTACTGAAAATGATGGTGTTATATTTTCTGATTTAGAAACAGATTCATGCAAAGAAAAATTATAATAAAGAAGTTGTAAGTGAAGTT